ACTGTCTATACCCAAACCCAGGAATTATAGTAAGTCCATATGGGGGTACAGCATGATTAATTTAGGTCCATTTGATACACTTTTGGCCCACATAACTACTTAGAGGCAAAGTTCTTGCGCTTTTCTGAGTGTGTCCATAGTAAGTATTCCTAAGAATGTTCAGCACCAACTGAACATGGACTGTGTTGGGTAGAGGTACAGGTTGGAATATCATTCAGGTCGAACAGGTTGTCTAGAGTACTGTTTTTATCAAATGTGTTCTGAAGAATTCTAGGTTCTGTAAAGGAGTCTCTCCTTAGGTGTCACCATGGTGATAGAGGAGGATGCTTGTGGCAGCTTTCAGGACCGCCACTCTGCTTCGTCCAGAGCAACTTCACTTTTACTTAGGGCTTCCACACAGTTTTCGTTCAAAGGGCTTCATGGCCACAGAGCCTTTGGAAAGCCAATGATCTAAGCATAAGTTGTTCACAAAACGCTGAAATACAAAAAATAGGTCACAGAAACCAGAAACTGGGTAAGCAAAGTCTTTGGTAAGCCAAGGTGTCTTCCTATTCATTCTGCCCCTAAGGTGGGTCACATTACAGAATTATGAAATTTAACATTCAAACATTCATTTCCTGAAATTAGGCTTGTGACTAGCAGAGAAAAGTCTTACGTGACAATAGCACTGGGGCTTTTGCAGTCAGACTACAGCTGCGAAATGCATTCATTTCTTTGTAAATATTATCCCAAGAAGTCCATGCTAGATGACTTCTTTTGAAGCACTGAGACCTCAGTGGGCCACAACCCAGAAATTCTAATACAATATCTCCTCATCCTCCATTTTTTCCCCACCCACTTCCTCTTTTTTCCCTTCCCAATCTTTCACCCATCTGAGATGCAATGACCTTGGACTAGGTTTGGAGCACAATGATAGGATACAGAGAAATCTATCACTGTATGTCATAGAATCCATCCACATTTGGATGAATTAACTTTCCCCTCTCCCCCTCCCTAGTATTCCCACTAATCTTTTAGAGGTTCCTTTGACAGAAAACCAAGGTAATGGTCAAGAAAAAGAATTCTGCCTAAACCAGTTTGGCTCAGTAGATAGAGCGTCAGCCTGCAGACTGAAGGGTCCCAGGTTTGGTTCTGGTCAAGGGCATGTGCCTTAGTTGTGGGCACATCCCCATGGGGGGGTGTGCAGGAGGCAGCTGATCGATGTTTCTCGCTATCTCTCTCCCTTCCTCTCTGTAGAAAATCAATAAAAATATATTTAAAAAAAAAAAGAATTCTAAAAAAAAATTCTCAGATTATGGAAACATGCCAATTCAAAGTTGTTATTGATAAGAAAAAGGGATGTGTGTGTCAAAGATACAGTTTGTTCCTGGGCCTCCAGGGCAATCGGTTGGCATTCAAAAAGCACTGGCTGTGCCACTCTTCAGCAGTTACCTCATTCCATTGGAAGGAATGCTGCAAGATAACATTCTGTTTGATTCAACTTAGAACATACCAGACTAAACAGCTAAATGACAGTTGTTTTTTGCTGTAAGCCTTATGGTATCCTTTAATACACTATACTGCATTATCAATGAGAGGGGACACATTTGATAGTATTTTTACCACCTTACTGGACTACAGCAGCTCTATATGTATAACATATATGTTGTGTATACCAATACACATACATAAACAGCACTGCTCGAAATGGATGGTACAATTATTAGTTAGGGGATAGATAAAAGAACCATTGATAAGATCTTAAGACTTAACAACATAAAACAGAGGCATGATTGCACAAGGATTCCCCAATCAATAGGTCATCTTTGTAAAGACCAAAGACAGACAAAATATCTTAAAGCAGCTTTGTGTTTCATGTTGGTAGTGTTGTGAATGAACATGTCTCTTGTTGACTGGACAATCTACCATCATAGAGTCTGCTCCTAAACCTTAGGGGTGTTTCCATGGAATTCTGGTCTAGGGCCGCTATCACGGTATTACATGTATGATATCCTGGTTGAGGGCACAAGGTCAGGAAGCTAGAACACTTTTCTGGGGTTCCCAACCTGCCGTCGTCTTAACACTGTGCGTAGAGGCTAAATTAATTCCAAGGAAAGAACTGGACCGGGAGTCAGAAGGTTTGGCCTCTACCACCTGATAACCTTTCAAATCCCATTTCCTTATTTGCAAAACAGGATTATAATCTAGTGTGGGATTTTGATATTAACACATGTAAAAGTGCTCTGAGACTGTAAAGTGCGATAAAAACATAAGGGATTACCATTATAGGTTCTACCTGGATGTCTCAAGTGGCCTTTTCTGGAATCTGATTGAAGCTTTGTGAGATGCTGGGTAAAGGAATCCTTTGTAAAATTCCTTACATTTGTGTGAAAAGTTCTAGTTCCCGCATAATCCCAAAGATGCTATGAGGACTTCACTAGGCCTTTGTTTTAATCCCAATGGGTCAGAACTAGGACACTACAGATTTGACGTGGAAACAGATTAGTGTCCAGTGACCTGTATGGGATCCTCGACGCTTCATAAACATTTGAGATTGTGGTCCAATGTTATTAAGACGTTGCCATTCCTCAGACAATGTTGAAAACTAAGAATCCCCTGGTCCAAATTTATTGTGTCTCTCTGAAGGCTTTAACTGAAGAAACAAAATACACACTCATGGAACCAACTGAGCCTCTGCTGTGATGAAACCAGTCTCAGCTATTTGGCTTGAGGAGTGTGACTTCACCTAAAGGATGTGTTCAATCGGTGCTGAAGGCCAGGAGTGGAGGTGAAGACCACATCATGACGGCTGACTGTCCCTTGGGTCACCGTGGTCCACTGGAATGGTATCTTCTTCAGTAGCAAGGAGACAGAAATCACCATGGACAGAACTCCAGGTACCAAACCTGTAGGCTGAGCCAACAACACAAGGAAGACGGTCAGAAGGCCCAGGGAGAAAACAGGTAAGATAACAAATGCATGGGATTACAAACGTGGGACGAGAATCCTGGAGTGGCTCTGCAGTAAGCACATCAGCTGCGGGCTATGTACCAACTCTTGATAAGGCTGACCGAGAAGCTTACAGATGATACATGAAAAAATGAGCCTTATAATCAATTATCAGTGATGATAAGAACAAAGAGTTCTCTGGCAAAGATTGTTTCCAGACTCTTGAGAATAACCATCTCGGGAACTGTCCTTATTCTTATACTTTTGGGGAGTAATTTGATTGTCTTCAGCTTGCTGGGCAGTGGTTGGTAGGTAATAAAGAAGGCTCCACAGGAACCACAAGAATTGAATTTAGGTTTACATACTAACACAAAGGCAAAGGAGATACTGCCCTTCTCCCTTTCCCAATTGTCTCATTCATTCTGACCACATTTCGAATGGGAGAGAATAATGTACCTAAGTAATAATGCTAATGCATGCACCCTTCTGTAATGCCCTATACAATATATCAATTTCTCTGTCTGAAGGCTCCTGAAATCTTTTTAAATTCAGAATTCAATAACATGAAACAAAGGAAGAAACATGGCCCACAACTAGCGATCTTTTTCCTAATCAAGAGTAACCAGGTTGTCACACAATGATTAAGCACACACTTACTGAATGCTTACTCTGGGATAGCATGATCTCTAAATTCCTCTTTCCGATTAAAAGCTTCATCATATGTTGTAGTATGTGTGGGCAAAGGTTCGAAGATTTTCCCCAAGGGGCTTGCTATCTGCAAGAAAGCAAATAAAAAAAGCAGGCAAATAAATAACTACGTTTACAGGGTATCAGATACAAGGATACAAGATATTGAGAAAATGGCAGAGTTTGGGCAGGTGAAGAACCAGAGGAAGACATTTCAGGGTAGAGAAGAGAGGATGAACAAAAGCGCAGAGATGGTCAAGAACGAGTCATGTGGGAAAATGGCAATACCGTGGTTCGGTTTGGATGCAGCGTCGTCAGAGTTTGCACTGAGCTCTGGCAGAAACTCAGGCCTTCAAATTCCCAGGAACAGCGCTAGTGGCACTGCTTGCTTAGTCGTCGGTCGTCGCCTCTTCTGAAAGCAAGGTCAATAGTCCCCAAATTGAAACTATCCAGCTCCAGAGTTCCTGTCACATCCTCACACACACACCCAGGTCCCAGGTCTTGCAAATCTGGAGTCCACGCCGTGGCGACTGAAAGACATCTGCTCCAGCGAGTGCGAAACACTGTAGTGAAACCCTCTCAAACCTCGATCCTGGACATCTCGCGTTTTGTCACAGAATTTCAAGCTTTGAGTTCCAGATGTTTGTGTCCCTCTTTTCTGCTGAGAAAAGCATCTTCTCACCACAATCTTAAGATTCTTTAGCAGTACATCCAGGTTTTATTACAAAACACCAACACATTTCCCCCCAAATAAGTTATTTCTCTGGAAGTGAGATCGTTTGTCTCTGTCCTTTAGGTAAAGGAACAGTCAGTTGATTTTTTTCTTTCAGACATTTGGATGCGATAGCAGAACCGGGTAACATGTAACCAGACAAAATACACTTAAACGTGTGTGTTCGTTTGCTTAGAGTTGTACCACTCCACAACACAAAAATGTTTGAAATCCAGCTGTTCAAACATTTCTATAGTGTTTGCTGGGTAATAGCCTGGAATCAGATAAAAGCAGCTGACAATGAACAAAGAAGCAAAAAAACGGGCATTTGGCCACCTTAGCAACACACTTGCAAGCAAAGAGAGTACAAAGCAGTCCAGGAAAAAAAAAAAGTTAAGCTTGGAAAAACTTCCAAATCTACTGATTCTGAGGTTCAGCACAGGTTCGAACTCAATTGTTCAGAAAACGTTAACCTTCAATTAATAAAAATACCCCCTCCCCCAGCATCTTCAGGAATTCCTGCCTGGGTCAGTCTGTTCCAGTGAGCCAGCTTTCGAAAAATCCACCTGCACCATTAATTAGCTTGACTTGGCAGCACCATAAGCCTGCTCACTACCAGCCACAGGGGTATAAAATAGGAGCAAGTAACAGATGGCAAACATGGTCGTGAAAAATGGTGAAGGAAAGAGTCAGAAAGGTAGGCACCAGTATAAGCAGCAACCAAGTGAATGCGCCAAAGATGAGACAGGGCTTCTGGATACTAGAGAACACATCCACTGCTCGTTTCAGCTGCTTTATACTGGATGCCACTGTACCATATGCATTAGCCACCCTTCAGGCACCCCACGGGGAAAGGAAAGGACTCAGGAAAAAAGCCAAGCAGTGGAGTGTTGTTACCCCAATATCCATTATGCACAGAAAAGCTCACATATCCCAGGGATTCGAACAGGGGCTTCAAATTGGTTGTGGAGGATCTCAAATGACATCTGGGCCTCAATTTCCTCCCTGTGGCATTGAGAACTTGTGGTTAACTCTTTGGGGGCGGGAGGGGTGGCATCTCCCTTTGAAAACTTGTTGGCGATGGATCCTCACTCCCCTAAAATGCACATCCCCACTACTTCCTGCCTACGATTTTGGGGAGTTTGGGGATTTCCAACTCCAATCCAAGGTTCCTTAAGGTTCCAAATCGATGGATTGGGAAACTGCTTTTCTTCTTACAAATCAGAAAAATTTACAAATAATAATGATCCCTTATGTACACGGACGCTTTCTAAGTTTACAAAGCGCTTTTAAACCCCACAAACACGGACAGAGGAGGAAACTGAGGCGCAGATTACAGAGGGACCTGCCTAAGGTCACCCGGCCCGCTGGTGGCTAGGCCCGGAAGCAAACCCAGCTCTTCCGACTCCGGGGCCCGCTTCCCAGCCCGGAGCTGCCGCCGGAGCCCCCGCCTCTCACTTAAGGCGGCATAAGGAGGAAAAGGCAAAGTAGGAAGCCCACCACCAACCATCCCCCGGCCCCTTCCTGTCCCTCCAACTGGGTCCTTGCAGGCCCCGAAGGGTGGCGCCAGGCCTCCAGGCCGGCCCCGGCCGCCCCCGCTTCCCCGGCCGCGCCAAGTCCCGCCGCCGCCGCCTCCCCGGGAGCGGGGCGGAGCAGCTGCCCGCCACCACCAACCACCCGGACGACTCCTCGTCGAATCGCAAACGCATAGGCCGCCGCCCGAGTTCTGCGGACGAGAAGAAAGACTCGGCGCGAGCGCCAGCGGCCACCGGGCGCGCGCCGCGGCGGCCGGGCCTGCGCCCCAAGAGCTGGATGCCAGAGCAGGAGAAAGAGCCGCCAACCGATCGCTCGATCGACCGCGCGCCCGCTCCTTCGCCCTACCAGACCGGGGAGGGGGGGAGGGCGCGCCAGGGCTTCTTCGAGTTAGGGGCCTGACTCCCCGGCGACGAGACAAGATGGCTCCTCCGGTCCGCACCGCAGCTACCGTCCCGGCTGCGTCGCTCGGCCCGCCCCCGGTACTGTTTCTTTAAATGGCGGAGAGGGTCACGAAAGCAGGAAGAGAGGCGCGCTCTGCCTCACGTGACAGGGGCGGGCCCAGCGAACAAGATCCGGTCACGTGGGCGCACATTGGGCTACCAATCAGGACGCGCCGTTTTAGGGCGGGGGCGGGAGGAGCCGCGGCTCTGTGATTGGCTGAACGCGCCGCGGGGACTTCGGGGGTTCGGGGCGTCGGGGAGTGCGCGAGGGAGCCCGGTCCGTGTGCATCCAAAGGCGCAGACAAAGCGGTGCCTGTGGTGGCCGCAGAGGCAGCCGTGAGGCAACCCTGAGAGCCGAGTTTCGTGGTGCTGAGTCCGGTCCTCATCTCATTCTGCGCGGCGCACGGAAGGCTCGCGTCTGGGCGGCGGCAGCGGCGGCGGCGGCGGCGGCGGACGCGGCAGACGCGGCGGCAGCACATGGTTCCAAGAGCGAGCTGCGGTGGTCGGGTTCCAATTCCGCGGGGAGGGACAAAGGCAGCCGCGAGCGCCGGGCAACGCCCCGTCGGGTGGAGCGCTTGCTAGTGCCCTTGATCCGGGCTCTGGAAGCGGGGCCCAGCCCTTCTCTGAGGAGATCCCGAGGCCACGGTCTGAGGAGAGTGGGGGGAGGGGCGCGCCCGTCTGAGGGGACTCGGCGGGCCCTTTGTGAGGTGATCTCAGCGGGTCTTTGTGAGGTAACTTGACGCGCTGCCCCCTCTGGAGACCGCGCTGCGGCTCTGAACCGCGGGAATCCGCCCTCAGCGGTGGAGGGAGATTTCACTTGGGAGTTCGTGAAGCCGAACTATCTTATCGCCATACAAACCCGAACCATGCTCACCAGCCCGGGGCCTGTTTAAGGATCCTGGGATCATTGGTGGCGAAGACATGGGCGATTGTCCGGTTTCATAACGGAAGCTGGCACGTTTCCGGAGTGGTAAGTTCCCTAGAAGAACGAGAAAGGGCTCGAAGAAGACGAAGATGGAGCAATAATAATAATAAAAAAACACATCAGCTCCAGGACCGTCTGCTTCAAGGTTATCCACATTTCGACTCATTGAACTCTCAGATCGCCACTTCACGTGAACCGCCCCCACCAAGACTACGGATGTAGGATAGTTCTGTTCAAAGTTTTCCGTCATAGTCTGAGAAGATTAAAAAAAAAGAAAGAAAATACCGAAAAGGAGAAATCAATTGTAGTGTCAGACATCTCTGACTAGATTTTGGATAGGTTCGCAGCACACTGGTGGAAGGAGCACAGACTTAACCCAATTTTTCTGGAAGGAATCCTGGAAAACCTATTCCCTTGTAGAAGGTTGTATCTCCCAGTTAGCAGGTGCAGGCCCGAGCCTTCGCCGCAATCATGGCTTTCACAAATTACAGCAGTCTGAATCGAGCACAGCTAACCTTTGAATATCTGCACACAAATTCGTAAGTATCCTTGTAGCTGCCACTGTAGTCGCCGATAACTCATTTCTTGCTATTCGTACGGAAATCCTTCTCCCAGGAAATTATGCTTTTGCACTTTTGGGGATGTTATCACTGGAGGAGCCTTGAGCTCTGTATGGAAGAACAGAGATCAGTGAAATATTTCTTGCTAATCCAGAAGAATATGACCACTTATTGGATCAAAACGTATTTGTTCAAATGCAAGCTAGTTATTTGAGGTCACTATATCGAGGTGTTTCTCAAGTGTTTGATAGGAATCCGAGAGCTGTTCTTTGGATCACCAAAAGTTGGACTATTCTAGCATATTCTATTGGGATATAACGAGTTTTTTCTTTCTAACGAGGGGGGAAAAAAGAAGATACTTAAATGACAGCTTATGAGAAGAAATTAATTTTTTTCCTCCAGCAAACAGTTGGCTTTATATTCCTTGGGAAATTCGTCCCCAATCCGACATTGTTTTCATGTGCTAAGCAGGAAATAGCAACTTGTTTAAACCCATGATTTAAATAGCCATTCTCCAAAGTGGGTGCAGATCTCAGAACACATGGTGTTTGAGGTTCTGGGGTTCACGAAGAAATTGCCATCACTCCAAATTGGACTGGAATGTTTCAGGGTTAATCCTTAATGTTCACTCTCTTGGAAGTATTCCTTTGGGCTCATAACTAATCTTTGTTTTAATAAGCTAATTTTCACTTGAGGGAAAGGTAAGTATTCTAACATTTTAGTATGTGGAGAGGTGATGAGCAGCTAAAGGATGGCCCAGAGATCTGAAGAATCACCTTCAGGGCTGAGACTATAGACTGCAGTTATCCAATAATAGTATAATTTTATCTTTTTATAGGAGGATTTAGAAATAAAAACAAAACCCTAAATTCCAGTCGTCTTTGTGATCATGTCTGTAAATTTTTTTGCTTGCTATTTTTCCTATCAGGGACATTTTTCTAAGTGAAGTTAATTGTCAAACTATGAGAACTTGGTTTTATTTAGGAAGCTTATTGAACTAGAGTGTTTTAGAGTAGAATTCTTCTGGTGAATTGAAATCCTGTCAGGTAAGATTGCTGACTAGTTTACAACATGCCCTTGGGCAAAAACCCTTGCTATCCTCTGTGTTGAACTGTCACTTTCGGAACCAGCAGTTGAAGACCTCTAAGACGTTCACAGGTGATCGGGCTTTGCAGTGAGGGGCCAAATTTGGAATAGCAGACTATTCGATAATCTTGGAGGAACATGAAAGGGACTTGTAAATTGGGTTCTTGTTCGAGCTTCCCCAGACTTTATTTGATGATAAAATAATAGTAACTAATTAACTGCTTCATGCCACTTACTCGTTTAAACATGGCTGGAAGTAATCTATAGCAACACTGCTGGGATTATTCCTATTTTGCATTTGAGGAAACTGAGGCTCAAAGAGGTTAAGTTACATGCCCAAGGTTACACAGCTTCTAAGGGGCAGAATTAAGGCACTAAGATTTATCTGGCAACAGTGGTTAGTGCTTTCAACCATTAGGTAGCACTGGCTCTAGTCATTTTTACCATTTCAAAATATATATATTTTTATTGATTTTAGAGAGAGAAACATCAATGTGAGAGAGTCATTGATTGGTTGTCTCCTGCACACCCCCCACTAGGGACTGAGTCCACAACCCAGGCATGTGCCCTTGACTGGAATCAAACCTGAACCTTCCATCCATAGGCCATCGCTCTATCCACTGAGCCAAAAGGGCTAGGGCCAGTTTTACCTTTAAGGGCTTCTTTCCCTTGTCTATATAGGAAAGGGTTTACTTCACACTTTGAAAGTCTTCATTTTAAAAAAATATATATATTTTATTGATTTTGAACAGAGAGGAAGGGAGAGAGATAGTTAGAAACATCGATGAGAGAGAATCATAGATCAGTTGCCTCTTGCACACCCCCTACTGGGGATATGCCCGCAACCAAGGTACATGCCCTTGACCGGAATTGAACCCGAGTCCCTTCAGTCCTCAAGCCGATGCTCTATCCATTGAGCTAAACTGGTTTCGGCTGGAAGTCTTCATTTTTATCTCTGAGCCTCTAATTTGGAGATTCTGGGATATTTGTCTCTGCTTGTTTTGCTATATTATAACTTAATAACAATAACAATAGGTGGACAGAGCCAAAGCAAAGAATTGAACCTCAGTTAAATCACCAAATCAAAATATGGAGAATTTTCTGTGAATTTGATTTACCAGTGTCGAACTGGAACCACCTGCTTGTGTGGACATTTGAGGGTTGGATGTATCATTTTGGAAGCTCTGGGATATCTGGATTACATTGAATTTGTCTACTTTTGAATATGTCCACTTGTGCCAGAAGAAAATATGAACCTAGAACAAGATAAGTTTCTGGTTTGTAACTCATTTCAAGAGATTTCTTTAATGTGCTAACCTGACTGGAAGTTCACTTCTAGAGGAAACAAAATTTTAAAGTAAAAATTATTTTATAGTTTAACAGAGAGAAACAGACACAGATATTGATTTGTTCCACTTATTTTATGCATTCATTGGTTGCTTTCTTGTATATGGTCTGACTGGGGATGGAACCCACAACCTTGGAATATTGGGACAACATTCTAACCAACTGAGCTACCTGGCCAGAGCCTTAAATTTTCTTAATCTGTGACTTGGGGGGTGTGTGTGTGTGTGTGTGTGTGTGTGTGTGTGTGTGTGTGTGTTCCCTTTCCGAGAGGAAGGAGAAGGAGATAGAAACATCAATGATGAGAGAGAATCATTGATTGGCTGCCTCCTGCACACCCCAACTGGGGATTGAGCCTTCAACCCAGGCATGTGTCTTGACTGGGCATGTGTCCTAACTGTGACCTTCAGGTTCATAAGCCGATGCTCAACCACTGAATCAAACTGACCGGCCTTGTTTTTTTTTAAAGGCAACAAGGGCCTTGATGCTCTTAATGGTAGATGTATCTCCTGTGTTAAGTGGTGCAGTGTCACCTTCAGATAAGGCAAAATTTGTCCTGTATCGTCTTTTTTTGTTTTGTTATAATGTTTAAAAGATCTTTTGGAGTTGCCTCTACAATATAGCCATATTGTGAAATATGAAATGGCCCTTTCCTTACCTCCTATTTAATGTAGATTTGCAAGCCGAACCCAAACTAGAAAGATGGAAAGTCATTGTGATGCAGTGGAAAGATCATGGGCTTGAGAGCCTGCCAAGTGTGGATTTGATTGCTTTTTGGCTGTGTCCTTGGGCAGAGGTCAAATTCACTGAGTCTTCATCTGTAAAATGGAGCTAGTTTGACAATATTTTTGAGTATTATGTAATGTTTATAATTCATACATGAAACATGATAAACATTGAATAGATCAGTGGTTCTCAACCTTTCGAATGACCCTTTAATACAGTTCCTCATGTTGTGACCCTCAACCATCAAATTATTTTCGTTGCTACTTCATAACTGTAATTTTGCTACTGTTATGAATCGTAATGTAGATATGCGTGTTTTCCGATGATCTTAGGCGACCCTGCTAGCAGTTCTCAACCTGTGGGTCGCTGTAGAGTCTGAGACCATCGGCATTAGAAAGGTTGAGAACCACTGGATTAGACGGTGATGATGATTCTATTTATAGTAGTTTATATAATCCCAAAGTTAGTAAGTATGGTAGCAATTTGCTGTTTGGTGCTAGTCATTAAGCAAATAAGTTTTTAGTGAATTCTGGACCATCTGTTAAAGATAGTAAGCATCTGTCTTGATTTTTTTATTTTTTTTATTTTTTTGTCAACGCTAACTAATGGTTATTTGGTTACATTAGCATGAAGGTTTAAGCAGGCATGGGAAATTCTTAGGATACATGAAAGTCTTAGGATAATTTCTTTGAATACTGGATATTGCTATTATGAGATGATAACAGGTTTTTTTAGATAAAAGGAGTTTCATGCTGTTACTGCTCTCTTTGGTGATGGGTTTTGTGACTGATAGTAAAAAGTTCATGAGCAATTTAGATGTACTGGTGGTAGTGATGGTCCCTTGGCGTAAGATGCAAAGCTTAAGTCACTCTTTGCAGTACTGCTAAGTGGTCTGATAGAGCAGAATGCTTAAGATGCCTGCTTTCTGTGTTCCCGTTGGCACATTTAATGACTTTTTATCTTGGCGATATGATACTTTTGGGTTGTTCTATCTATATTGGAAGTGAATATAGAGTAAACTGTCAATTCTGTAGACAACATTTCTTATGATGTATAATGCTGTGAAATGTAGAGTTCTTACTCTATATTAAAGCAAAATGCATGTAAAATGGTTGCTCTAGAATTTCTCTAGATTATTTTCTTTTGATTAGGGCAATTAACTATTGTAAACACATCCAAGTATTTAAATAGTTTAAATGCAGGATGAATATGAATAGGGAGACCATTTTCTTACATAATGGGTAGATTTTCCTGTGAATTTGTCACTGGAAATGCTGAGACAGAACAATTTCCTTCGCAGCACAAACGGAATAAAAGCCTTGATCAGTTGAAAGTGAGAGCCTGTTGCCAAAACCGGTTTGGCTTAGTGGGTGGAGCGTCAGCCTGTGGACTGAGGTGTCCCAGGTTCGATTCCTGTCAAGGGCATGTACTTTGGTTGTGGGCACATCCCCAGTGGGGGAGGGGGGGTGTGCTGGAGGCAGCTGATCGATGTTTCTCTATCATCGATGTTTCTGACTCTCTATCCCTCTCTCTTCCTCTCTGTAAAAAAATCAATAAAATATATATATTTTTTTTTAAAAGAAAGAAAGTGAGAGCCTGTTAAAAATCTTTCTTTTTCTATACGGTTGATTTTTCTTGAATCATACGTAAGGAATTGTTAGGTCTGTGAAGAAAATAATTTTCTTTAATAGTTACTCCAATATCTCTATCTCAGATACTAACTAGAAACTAGTGTATCTCTTTAATATTATTTTTAAAAAAGAACTTGTGCAGTTAGTACGTTTTTGGTTCTTATTTTAAGAAATACTTGGAACTCTGGCTTTAGTATTTGATAATAGGATCCATCAATCCGTTGGAAGGCTGGAGAAAATGCGAGTGTTGTCTTTGAATTTATCAGTGAGAGGCCCCGTGCATGAAATTCATGTAAGGGGCTCTGCCCTTGCAGCCCTGGTGGTGGCCTTGGCCTTTGCAGCCCCGGTTTCGTCCAGAATGTCCTTCCGCAGTCCGGTCTAATTAATATGTTAAGCTTTTATTATTATAGATTGTCACAAAAGGCACCTTTTTTTATGTATAAGTATATGTCACCAAAGTATTTCTTACTTATATTTTAAAGATGTTTGTTAACTTACCTGAAATACGTAAGTGTGGAACAGCATTGAGAAGTGTGGAACAGCATTCATATAGTGTGGAACAAGGAAGATCATTTGGAAAGATTTTTAAAAATTCTAAATATACAAGGCACATTTTAAAACAATATATAGAAAGCAGTGAAAACAGCCAGAGACTGTTCGTGCTTGCTCTTTTTAGATCTTACTATTGAATTCTAAATGTCTCTCATTTTCATGTGAAGTGATCAGAAATATGTATTGCTGCCCTAGTCTGTCTGGCTCAGCAGAGAAAGTGTCGGATTTCAGATTGAAGGGTCCAGATTAGTTTTTGCACATTTCCCAAGTTGCAGGCTCCATCCCCAGTGTGGGGTGTGCAGGAGGGAGCCGATCAATGATTCTCATCATTGATATTTCTATTGTATCTCTCCCTTCTCCCCCCCAATAAAAAATATATTCAAGAAAGAAATAAATATGTATTGTTGATAAGGCATAGGGTATTAGAGTAAGTTTTCCAGACTATTCATATTCAGCATTTTCCCTACCAAAGGCCAGATACTTCATTCTTTAACTTAGAGTATAGAACACTACTGGTTGGAAGCTTGAGAGCAAATGTTAGTTTTATTTTTAACTTAGTTACTTTCAACAAGTCACTTTAATTTTCTAGCTTATTTTTATCTCTCTCTTTTTTTTTTATGGAGTAATATACAGAATAAAATAAATTCAATTGGTAATTTGAAGAATTTAGCCCAACTGTTTGTATCGATGTTTCTATCTCTCCTCCCTCTCTCTGAAATCAATAAAAAACATTAAAAAAAAGATCATTTGAAGAATTTAATATGATTCTAAAGATTTAAGAATTTTTAGTAATTAAAGATAAGGATGTTTTATACATGTTTTTCTCTTAGAAAATGGTTTTTATGTAAAATAAGAATTGGGTTTTAGAACAATTTGAGCCCTACTTTCTGGTTGAATTGGAGATAAATTTTCTACTTTTTGTTAAGTAGAAATTTTCGTTAAATTTTCTGCTTCTTGTTAAAACTTATTTACTGCTGTCACTTTTGGATAAGCAGCATATATTCACTGATCTCATGGGAGAAAGTTCTTCATAAAATTCTTAGAACTGGTAGTTTTAATTCAAAATTTGCATTTGTAAAAATTGGAATATTTACCTGAGGAGAAAAAAAAAATCAGTGTTTTTAGCAGTTCAATTTTGGGTATTTTATAAACATTTTAAAATTTATTTTAAATAATACAGTTAGTGATCAGACATCCTAGATTCTGGTTATTTAATAATGGTTTATTTCATTCTGAAATATTTGAAAATTTTAGTTTATCTATTGGCTGAAACTTTATATACAAATAAAAAAAATTAGCTGGGATAATTTGGTTATTTTTGAAAAAAAGAAGTCAAAGTTTCCAAGTGGTTCTGAGTGGACATGTCCTACTTTTATATCTAATATCTAATTAAAACTATTATGGGAAATTTAAGAGAGTATATATGGAGGAATAAGTTTAAGGATAAATTTTATAATCATTTTTTTTCTTTCATAAATATAATTGTATACTTACCCAGCCCTAACTTTGAGCAGCTTCGGGGTTAACTTTAACAGGACCCTAAGAGACCATACCATGCTTTTGTCCTTCTAGAAGGAATTGTCCTAGAGGATCTTGCATTCCTTTAATGTGTAGAAAGTTTCTTTTTTTAAGCAAGAGTAAGAGAAAGGAAGTGGATTTTTCTCTCCTTTCTCCTCCACTTTTGAATGGAATATTTGCGCTCATAAATTGCACAATGTTGAATGGATTTTCTTCTTTCACTAGTAGATCGTACACAGGTATAATTAGTAAAGCAAAATGCTAACAAGTTGACCACTGAGCATGCTTAGAGATAGGCAGAAACAGCTGGTTAAAGCAATGAAAAATAAATTAGTTATTTTTCTAGGTGGAATATGAGTAGTAAAAACTGCTTTTAGCAATACTACATAGGAATATTTTAATTCTTCTTAGTGGTTTCTCAACATAGTAAGAATAAACATTTCTGTGTAGGTATCTTGGTAGATTAATACTTGAAAGAGATTAGGGAGATAATGAAGTTAAATTTAACGAGTATAAATTGACAGTGCTCATCGTGATTTTAGATTGTTTCCTACAAAAACAGTATTTTATAACCTTGATTTTTTAAAATTGAGTCATAGTTCATTCCATAATTCTCTTGCTGATTCTTTTTATCATTTTAGAACTACTCATGAATTCTTGTTCGGTGCTCTTGCTGAACTGATTGATAATGCAAGGTACGTAGTCTCTTGCAGGCAAGTAGTATGTGTTTGAAAACATTTGGGCCATTGTGACCTTTGCTTTCTGAAGACATGGAAGGAAGGCAATTCTGTAACAGCCACAACTCAGTCCTTAGAGGCTTGCTATCCAGAAGAGTATTTTTAATAGCACATCAGTTGATAACTCCCACTTTACTTGATTAACTTTAATCCATTCATTCCTCAGTGTTCTAGCATAAAAATAATGAACTTCTAACCTTCAAAGCTACTTTCCCATGTGTGTTAGGGCGAGATAATTGTAGTGAAACACAGGGAATTAAGATTGAAATTTGGGAATCAAATTAATGAGACAGACAAGCTTTGATTTAATTTGTGCTATCAGGAGAGTACACTATCAAATGTCTTTAAAATTATTCCAGAAATTTTGTGTCTTCCCAAAGTGTATTTTATTGTCAGATGACTCCCGTTGATCAAAGCATCTTTCAATTGTGCGCAGCTGTGCTTGGAAGAAATGATTCTTTAGCACTGTTATATGGAGTTCTTGGTGATTGAAGCCTTTCAATGTTACTGTAATAAGATTGAAAATTTTAAGTTGATTCAAAGATAAGCAAATAAAAATCCAAATCACCATTCTGTTACTATTATGAAAGTGTTGTTTTAGTCTTGTTTCTGAATGCAGACATAAAATTCAGCCATTGTTTATTGACTAGGTGTTGATGACTAACAAAGGAAGAAGGATGTAAGAGTTGATAATAGAAGTACTAGTAGATGCAAAATAGTATCCATTTCATAATACTCTGCATAGGTGGCATTTCAGATTCTCACCTGGATCTTTATTTATTTTTTTTTCCTTTTAATTTTGCAGAGATGCTGATGCCACCAGAATGGATATTTATGCAGGTAAGACAGACATCAGTCTTTTCTTCTATGCCCAGTTCCCTTCAAATCATTTATTGCTGTGCCTGAGAAGAAATGAGTGTGAAATACCTGGTTTCTGGGCCTGAGGATATGGCACAATTATTCTAGGTCATTGGGTAGAAACAGGACATCCTGGTTAGGCATGTAATAGAGACCAAGAATTAGTTTACACCAAGGAACTAACACAGGGTGATCAGATCTAGATCCACGCAAAAAGTCACCGGGAGATTTAGAGAGCCGATGGAATAGGGTAGTGGGGAGGGTAATAACAGCCGCGAGTGGTTTTATTGGTTGGAGTTAGCAGGTGACCAGGTTTATAGCATCTGCAGCCAGGGAGAGATCTTGTTGGAGGCCAGTTTCTCCTTCCATCCGTGGCGAAGACCAGTGCCAATTTTTATGTCAGTTGCATAAAACAACTGGGTAACTGGGTTGGCACTGAGGTTTGCAGAGGAGATGTTTTCAAGTAAAGGTATCAGGCAGGAAGGAAGGCTGTTTTGCTTGGAATTTAAAGATGCTGAAGCATGTACTGCTTTGCTTATTTCATTGGCTCTGTTGTTTTTTCCTAGAGTGCAAGTGGAAGAATTTTTAGTCCTTATCATTGGCCCTGTTTTGTTTGTGTGTGTGTGTGTGTGTGTGTGTGTGTGTGTGGTTTTTTTTTTTTTTTTTTATAGTTTGCTTTCTGCCTGTTTAGTGTTTGTACTAGCATTTCTTTTGGATCATTTGAATGCTAACAATCTGAAAGCTGAATAGAGAAAGACAGCTTTTAAATCCAAATTTGGATAGCATGATCCGTTTCTCTGAAGTCTTCTGAAAACTTTGAGGTAATGCCCTGGCCGGTTTGGCTCAGTGGATAGAGCGTCAGCCTGTGGACTGAAGGAAGGGTCCCAGATTCGATTCCAGCCAAGGGCACATGCCCAGGTTGTGGGCTCGATCCCTAATGGAGGCCATGTAGGAGGCAGCCGATGGATGAATCTCTCTCATCATTGATGTTTCTGTCTCTCTCTCCCTCTTCCTTTTTCTCTGAAATTAATAAAGAAATGTATTTTTTTTTTTTTTTAAAGTTTGAGGTAATATTTTGAATAAAATTGACTAGCTTCTCAGAATGGATCATTTATTGGGAGCATGCTAGGAATGCAGATTTTCAGGTACCACTCAGACCCACACAATTAGACACTCTGGGATGGAGCCCAGAATCTTTATTTTAACAAATTCTTCAGGTGATTTGTATGCATACTACACTTTGCTCCAGCTGATACTTTTCTTAGCTCCTGCTTACCTCAGGTGCTGCAGAGAGTAGAGTCCATTGGAGGCAGTGATCTCATCTGCATTGTTCACTGCCATTAGCTTCATCACAGAGTGAGGCCCAAAGGAACTGCCCAGTAAATATTCATCGAATAAACAGCGATTGAGATAAGCATTGTAGGTAGGTATGCTACATGTAGGATGCTAGGTATGCTACATGTAGGATGCTACATGTCTGCTTACAGGGTTGAAGAAGTTACTGCTGAGTTGGCTAGTCTCTCTTGGCCCTGTGGTAGTGTACACATGACCATGGACACTGCTTACACAGCGTCGATCCTCCACATGTGGGTTTCTTGCCCTCATAATCAAATGAAAAATCTTTGAAATGAAGTCCTTGAGCAAGAAAGGGACCTCAGACCCACTGTTAAGTGTTGATTGTGTGTTCAAACAGCCTGCAAGTCCTGTTACAAGAAACACAAGGGCCTAAAAGTAATTTTTTAGGTAGCGTTCAAGAAATGCCACCAATGATCCTTGGGAACTTTCTGAATGCACTCGGCTTGAGCCAGTTTCTAGGTTCCAAAGCAGTCTTCACGTACTGCTCATGGCTGACGTGCAGAGCAAATGGCCTGTGGCCAGATTTAGCACATTGTTACCATGATCTGTACCTGGCCCACTTTGCTCCTCGTAGAATAAACTTGGAAGCCTTTTTGCACATTTCTTGCGCTTGCTCCTGCTTGCTGAATCTCATTTGGATTCTCTAGAGACCCTGGTAAGAGGCTCTGCCATGAGCATTTTCTTATCTACCAGTAGTACTTCCAGGAAGGTCCCTGCTCTTGAACTTTCAAGAAGCACTTGTTATTAATGTTTCAGCGAAGTTTAGCTTCCTGAACAGAGTGATACTTGAAAATCGGTGGTTTATAGTACTTCTGAAATAGCATTTTAAATTGCAATAACTAGTCCATTTAATGGAAGGCGGTCATGACTCACTTGAGTCTTTAGCCCGAGGGGAGGACATGCATTTTAAACAGATCTCAGCTTGGATAATTTGACAGAGCTGGTGAACGGCAGCTTCGGGGAGAAAAGGATGTATTCACTTAGGAACTAAGCTCAGAGCAGCCCTGGGCTTGTTCCTGTGGTACTTTACATAGACCTACCTGTTAGTAGAGGTGCTCTCCAGACTCCAGCACCTGTGCTGGTCCTCCTTTGCCCACCTCGTCCTCACTGAGTCAAAAGGCAAACCCTTGGTACCTAGGATGGTCCCTCCCCCTGTTTGGGAATCTCTTCTCCAGTGTTTATCACATGACCCAGCCTACTCTGAGTAACCACTTGCCGCTCCCGAGAGAACAGCAGTTTCTACTCACTGCGATGGCAGCCAGAATCTGTTGCGTTCCCTTCCCGTTAGCCAAGAGCTCTCCATGGCTGCTCTGTAACTTACCCTCAAAGGACTGTTCCTCCTTGCAGTCAAGCTATCCAGCTGGGAACCGGGCACGTTCATGGCAATCCTATACATCCTTCTTGGGTTGGGGAGTCATGTCAAGGACCCACGGCAAACGGAAGGTGCGATGGTGAATACAGATAGCCCAGAGACTTGTTAGCCTGGGGAGAGTCGCGTAGAGACTTAGCAATTCATCTTCTAGATAGCAGCCGCCACCACTATCCCATAGCATGACTGGCTTGATCACTTTGAACGTAACCCACAGAGGGTGTGCCGTGTTGGGGTTGAGCAGTGTTGGTAAGGTACAGCATGCCGTAGCGGGAGTACTTCAGTGTCTCGGGGTTCACAGCGGAAGGTAGCGTGGGAATAATCCAGATGGAGACAGGCAGGGGATGATTGGGGTACGTATGAAACACATCTGTATTCAGTGGTTCTGGGTTTGGTTGGATAGTGGGCCCGGTAGTCTTGTCCTCCATATTAAGTCTCTCAAGCTTTGTCATGAACTGGAAGGAATTGGAGAAGCTTTGGGATTTCCACTCCCAAGGGCCTTACACTAGCTAGGTCTGTTACAAGGAGAAGCTAGGTTTGACCTGACCTTCCCATCGATCCCCCTTCTTACCCTGCCGATGCCGCCGCTCTCTGGAGGGTAACCACCCAGTAATGGCAGCTCCTCTTTTACAGAAAGGCGAGAGGATCTTCGAGGAGGATTTATGCTTTGCTTTTTGGATGATGGAGCAGGAATGGATCCAAGTAAGTACAGTAACCATTTTTATGAATACCGGCTGTATTAACTTTTTTTTTTTTTTTTTTGTGGCCTCACTTTTGTGACTCAAAGATCATCCACCAGGAGAGAGAGGAGAGTGTTGCAACATCTCAGGCATAATTCCACACACGGATTTGCCGGGTCTTGTCCGAGCATGGGAGATAGCATCTGAATGGCAGCCTGAAGTCAGTCAGATTATCTCTCTCATAACATTCTGTTTATCAGCTTGCACAACATCCCAGAGTTAAAACTACAGGACACACACACACACACACACACACACACACACTCATACCTTATTACCATGTTTGGATAACAAAATAAGTCATAGTGATGCTTAAACTGAACCTGACAGGCCAGTCAGGTGTTGGGTCCAATTGCCTCATGATTGTGAATTTCCTTGGACACACAGCCCTCCTTGGGGTTAGCAAGGTTCAGACCTTGACGTTGGAGGAGCCTGGAAAAGAAATGCAGGCTTTTCACTTCTCCTTTGCCTGCCTTTTCAGATGATGCTGCCAGTGTGATCCAGTTTGGGAAGTCAGCCAAACGCACGCCTGAGTCCACCCAGATCGGGCAGTATGGGAATGGGTTAAAGTCGTAAGTATCCTAAAAGCCCGTCCCAGGTCTCAAAACAAGCGATGTGCTCCTGCTTCGGTCTCATGAAAACGTTCTTGTCTCCATCCCTGTCATTCTGTAACAGAAGGGAAGTCAGAAAGGAGTGGGCTGGGGACTTACTGTTGTCCAGCCTGTGTACTTTACAGAACAAAAGCATGTATGGATGCCCAGACCAGCTGTGGTGGGAGAAGCTGCAGGTGTCTCCTGGCACTGTGCTCTGGCACTGCACCTCTCTTCCTGTTGAAATGTTGTACCCTGTAGTTGAGGTATGGAGTGGTCGTTTTGTGGGATTGGGATATATCTGAGATCGGGAAGACGTTGCTTCGTGGCACAGCAGGTTCTGAGCACCTGCCATATGTCATGCTTTGTGCTAGACATTGGGGATCCCGCATGAGTCAGGCCCAAACCTCCATCCTGGAGGTCATGGGCTCCCCTTGCAGGGACCTACCTGATGTCTGCAGGTCCCTGGGGACTTCTCCCGCAGACCTTGGTTCCCACTTGTGTGGTGTTTGGAATGTGGTGGTCTGGCTTTGAGTGAAGCCCCAGGAGAAAGGTTTCTGTTTCTGAAAGGCTGTCTTCCAGCTGTACATTCTCTTGGATAGAATACGATGCAGTGGAATTGGAGTTTGTACACATGGAATTCTGAGTCATGTCTCCAGTCTTGCTGTGGAGACGTGTTGTTTTCTTTGAGAGAGAGGTGGTTTGGCCAGTCAACGGCATTAGTTGTCCCTCACTGCAGTGTGCCCGGGGTGGGGAGGGGGGAGAGAACGAAAGTGCTTCCAAAGATCATGTACCTGGACTTTCCGATTTGTCTCTTAGGACAGGAACCAAATGGTACGGATAGGCACTTACCATGCGCCAGGCACTGTGCTAGGTAGGGGCTTAACTGGTCTTGTTTACTCCTCCCTATGGTCCTGGGAGGTGTCGGTACTGTTATGCTCATTTTCAGATGAGGAAAGTGAGGTTTATAGAGATGAAATGATTTGCCCAAAAATATAAAGGTGCCCAAGTGTAGAGCACAAATATAAACCAGAATTTCTGACTGCAAATTGTGTCCATTTCACTTAAGTCAGACTAAAATTCAAATCTTTCCTCACTTAATTACTTCTTTGAGCCTCAGCTTCCTTCTTTATAAATTGGGATTATATCACACATACCGAGTAGGATATAGAACCCCCTGGCAGGGCCAGGCAGCCGGGATCAAGGGGACCCCCGTGATTCTGTGTGGGTGATCTAAGTCCTCAATAACTGAGGTCTCCTACAGTCCGTGTGAGGATGGTAAATGAAACCCTGACTTCCTCTCTGGATTGTACGTCAGGTTTCTCCTGCCTGTTTCATCAGTTCTCTGGCCTCAGGTAAACATTTTACCCTCTGGATATCTATTTCCTACTCTAGAAAATAGGATTCTGAACTCTGACATTCTCCCTTACGGAGCAAGTTTTAGGAGCAAATGACATAGGACTCTAAAAGCGCCAGAAGCCCGGAAAGGAAAGTGTACAGAAGTTGAGAGTGTTGACATTAGCCTATTTTTGGTAGAACGGTTGTAAAGGACCCATTGAGATGGAGCCATCTAGTGTTCAGAGTGAATTCATTTTGATACCAATTCAGAAGTTGAAAAGATTTTTAGAAGGAAGTGATTTGTGGTGAGAATAGGGCTGAGAAGCAGGGAAGCCAAGAGAAGTGGCATTTTGGGATTGTTGCTCTCAGGTTCAAAGACAGAGGGACGAAAGAGGCACAAATTGGGAGTTTTTGCCAATTTAGGGCAAGAATAAGTTCTGACAGAAGGCAGGGCAATGTGCCTCATTTTGCCACCCAAAAGCTTTAGGGAAGAAGAAGGACTGTGAAATTGTTGAGGAAGGAGAATTGCCAGAACTTCGGGAACTGGCAGAGGAGAAACAGAACTTGGCAGCCCCCAGGCTGTCTCGGGGAGTTTTCCGGAGCATTCAGGAAAATGGCACATGGCATTCGTTTGTGTGTTTGGCATACTAATCTGGTTTGTATTTGTACATAGACGAGGGTAATAAGGCTCCCTATTGCCATCACCTCCCTCGGGCATGACGAGGACTGATGAGATAATAGCCATAAAGTCCCAGAAGCTGCTCAGAAGAAAGGAACTAAATAGCCCCATTGTTCAGTGGGCAATCCTCCCGCTGGTGCTCATGCTTCTGCCGGACACCTGGGAAGGCCTGGCCTGGCCTGTTCCTCAAGTGGTTGAACATGGCCAGACTGGAAGGAAGCCTTCGATTCCTTGAGGCACATTTCCCAGGAACTAGTTGCATCCAGAAGCAGGGACCTGCCTGTGTCATAATGAGCTTGAGGTGGCCAAACGGTTCTGAGACAGAAGTAGGTTGTACTTAACAGGACCTGAGTCAGTGATAGGCCCCCCTCCAAAACTGATCAAGAATTACATTTGACACGGTTAACCTTGGGATCGGACTGTTGCGGTGTGTGTGTGTTTTTCTTAAGGACTCGTGGGCTGTTCCCTTGATGCTGCTGCATTTGATGCGTGGATGCTAGGGGAGTTTGTGTCAGAGAAGGAAGGACAGGGTGGGCATTGGCTGTGGGTAGCATGGACGGAGATGTGGTGAAGGTCCCAGTTGCTGGAGTGCAATCTGAAGGATAGGGCAGCAGGGTCACATGGCAGCGCCTGGGGGTGAGACTAACCAGAGCTGATGATGAGCAGTGAATGTGCCCAGAGGGGGTAAATGTGGGCGAGATGGAAGAGCAGAGGGACAGTTGAGTCAGGATGGGCAGGTCTGCTCCTTTCTCAGAGGAGCTTTTGAGTCCCTGGGAGAAGAACCCGGTTCTGCTTCCCTTCCAGAGGCTCCATGCGCATCGGGAAGGATTTTATCCTCTTCACCAAGAAGGACGATACCATGACCTGCCTCTTCCTGTCTCGCACCTTTCACGAGGAGGAAGGCATTGATGAGGTAGGTTCCCTCCGCTCCACGTTTCCTGGGTCTGCCGTGGATTAGGGAAGGCCTTGGTCTGCCAGCCTGAGACTAGACTCTGATCTCCTTTCATACGTGAGAAATGGGGCCGGAGCTTGAGAGAGAGAAGGGGCTGAGAGGACCGTAGAGAGAGATCCATGGCTATCACATCCACAGATAGGTGAATTCAGAGTTCCCATCTAATTCCTTCCTGTTGGCTAACGAGGATTAGATTAAACTTATACTGGCCCTGGTTAGATGGGAGCCAAAATCATCACAGATGAACTCATGTTGGGAATAAGAGGCTGTCTTTTTTTTTTTTTTTTTTTTTTTACCATCGAGTGAAGCTTGCCCTTTTGGTGCGTGTGAGCTCATTCAGCTTACCTGGAGGGAGGGGAGTCTGCAGCCGGAAGGAGCAGGCTCCTGGGAGAAGGCAGGCGGGAGAGCCTCGCCCAGGCTGGGGCTTCAGGAACCGTCTGCTCCAGGCGCTGAGGGCAGGGGATGGGATGGTAGAGGGGCCACCTGGAGGAAGGTGTGGCCTCTAAAGAGCAGGGAGTCCCGGCCAGGCTTGACCTCAGGGCCTTGGTGGCACTTTATTAAACGCAGCCGTTAAAGGCTGTTCAAAGGAGGAGGTGCAGTGTCGGGTTTGGGGTTGTTGGGGTTTTTTTTAAGATTGTTCGGTGACTGTGCAGTGATTGGACTGGAAAGATGGGGTGTTGGCGTGGACCAGGTGAAAGGCCCTGCTCTGTGTAACCTGAAGGGACTCCCAGCAGGGAGGGGAGGAGAGGAGCAGTCCTCCTCTCTAGCATGGGGGCCACAGATGTGGGGTTTGACCGGCGCAGGGAGGAAAGGGGAAGGAGGAGTCTGGGTGGCTCGGTTCTGGGTGGCGGTTGGCGTGGTAGGCTGTCTGGAGCCGGGGAAGAACGACAGAGGGTGCAGCTGGGAGGGAGAGAGAGTTTTGTCCTGGACACTCGAAGTTAAGTCTGGGTCTGGAGCGTGGGGGAGGCCTGGCTCCCGGATTCTTGGCAGCAGATAAGCTCAACTAAAGGAGCTCGCAGAGTGAGAGGACCTGGGATGTCAGGCACGCGGACATTTAAAGGCTGGGAGGGGGAAAGCGCCAGAGGAGGCAGGAGCGGCCAGAATGGCAGGGGGGGGTGCCAGTGGAAGTGAATGAATGCCCACAGTGTAACTGATGCCATTGTCACCTGGGGCTGCTGTGAAGATGGGAGGTGCAGAGCGAGGTACACACTCACAGAACAGAACACAAATGGAACTCAATTCCCTGGTGAAAAAACTAGGTTGAAATTTTTCCCTTACTTGGTGCTAGAAGGTCACTGTTTTGGATTGTTCCTGCAGAGCGAACTCAGCCAAGATTTCAAAATAAACATTTTTGGCTGCATAGGAATGTGTGCAAACCAGTCCTAGGGTTGGATACTATAGGCAGGAAGCTTCTCAGAAACCAACAGAACATCTCAGAACTCTTTATCAGTTTTATCACCCTGGCACTTGTTAAAACACAGAGCTCTTTTTTCCTCCCAGTGGGCCAGATGGTTTGAACTTGGGAGGGAATCCCAGCAGTCACCCATGCTGAGAGGCTGCCGGGGAGGGGGGTAAGGGGGGAGCACGGGTGGAGCACACAGGCCTCTGGGGAAGTGGCATTTGAAAGAATTTTTAAAGAAAGAGAAAGAGTAGGATATCCCCCCCCCCCCCCAGCTTTATTGAAGCGTAATTGACAAGGGTAGAATTTTCTAAAACATTATTTAGGCATAAGATAAAATTCCATACGTGAAGAGAGTGTGTTAAAACAGCTGTACAGTTTAGAGAATAAGTAAAGCAAACGCCCATGCAGTCACCATCATCGCTGATGCACTCCCACCAATCAGGTTGCTTGTTGCACCTCTAAGGAATGCCCTAAGGTGACTTTGTGATAATTGTGTCCTTGTTTTTCTTCCTATGTTGTCACTTCTGTATGCATTCTTGAATAGTTTAGTTTGTGCATTTATGAGTTTTATATAAATGGACTCATCATAGGTTTTTTTTATTTTGCTTCTATCTTGTAACATTGTAAGATTCGTTTGTGTTGATGATAGTAGCTATTCCTTTGTTCATCTCCATCACTGCACAGTATTCCATTGTATAAAAATGCTACAGTTTAATTTATCCACTTTGTAGTGGCTATTTTGCTGTTCTTAGATGTTTGCTGGTACACATGCACAAGTTTCTCCTAGAATATGTACCTGGGAGGGGAATTGCTGAGTTGTAGGTTATGTTTATGTGTGTTTTCAGTTTCACTAATAATTGCAGATAGACTTTCCTTAGTGGAAAGAGTAGAATTATTACCAAACTAGGAAAATGGCCAGAGACATCTCAAGCAGGGAGCTGCCTTTCAGAGGCCCCAGGGCATAGCCCAGCGTACCCCAGGGGACCTAGGGATTGAGGCCGAGTCCTGGGAAGGGGCAGAAGCCACAGAGGCTCTGGTGCCAGGCTGTGGCGCTGGGGCCTCACGTCTGGGCAGTGTGGGGCGGGATCAGAGGAATGAACGCGCATTTTAGGGACCATGTCTGCCTGTGCTCACTCCATAGGTGATAGTCCCATTGCCCACCTGGAATGCTCAGACCCGGGACCCTCTCACAGACAACTTGGAAAAGTTCTCCATAGAGACAGAGCTCATCTACAAGTACTCCCCCTTCCACAACGAGGAGGAACTGATGGCTCAGTTCACGAAGATTCCTGGGGACAGTGGTAAGGAGGCCTGGAGCCTGCATCACCGGGAACCCTTCGCTCCAGAGCCAGGGTGCTGCAGGATGTGCAGGGGGCACCTGGCAGAGCGAAGGGTCTCTGTTCCCCAGGAACGCTGGTGATCATCTTCAATCTCAAACTCATGGATAACGGAGAGCCAGAGCTGGACATAGTCTCAAACCCAAGAGATATCCAGATGGCAGAGACTTCCCCCGAGGGCACGTGAGTATGGCTGGGAAGGGCCGGAAGTCCTGGAACTGGTATCCATTTTCTCAGTTGGGAAAGCGCAGGAAGTGACCTTAGGGAGAGAGGGGAGAGCTCATTTCCCGATTTCCCAGGTTAGAGTTCATGGAGCTGAGAATGCGCATCACCTTGCCGTAGGCAGAGGGATGAATGGGCCAGCAGGTCCTCAGCAAAGCCAGAAGGAGAGATTAATGATCCCTCGCTCCAGCTCCGTGATTTGACAGAGAAACTGAGGCCCTAGAGAAGGAGAGGAGGCGTTGGGTCCACGGTGGGGCAGTGGGAGGGCCGGGCCGGTGTCTGGGTGCCAGTGCTGTGGACGGGAGGGGGCAGGATGTGGTGCCAACACCGAGGGGTACACGTTCAGAGTGGCAAGAGCAGTAGAGATGCGAGGTGGGAGCTGCTGAGAGTCTGTCCTGCTGGACCCCGGGTGGGGCTGGTTGCGGTGCTGTGACCGCGCTCCATTGTCCCCGCCACCTCCAGGAAGCCGGAGCGGCGCTCCTTCCGAGCCTACGCTGCCGTGCTCTACATTGACCCCCGAATGAGGATCTTCATCCACGGGCACAAGGTGCAGACCAAGAGGCTCTCCTGCTGCCTGTACAAACCCAGGTAGGGGCTGCCGCCCTGCCACGCTTTCCTGGGGCGTTTCTGAGAGATGCTGGACGACAGGGTCTGACCGTGTCAGGCCTGTAAGCTGCCTGTGATTTGCTGTGGGTCCTGGGGGAGGGATAGAGGTGGCCAAGGCTGTGGAGGGGCTGGCAAAGCTCTTTGAGTGTGAGTGTCCTCTGTGACGTGGAGTCTGCTCTGCCTGGCACAGCGAGCTGTTGGAGCCTCTTGGACACAGGAGAAAAGCAAAGACCCTGGCTGATGGCTGATGCTGTGGGTTAGTGACAGCTTGGGAGCAGTGAGCTTGCTTATCGAACTGCATCCGGAGTCTTTTGCTGAAATAGGCTTGGCTCTGATTCACCCTGAAGGGCCAGGACAGTGCAGCTTGGGAGGAAGCAGGAAGTCAGGGTGCTTCCTGAGCTGCTCGGGTGGCCACCCTGCCCCCTACTCCTCGGACCCTGAGGCTGCTTTTCCCCCATTCAGGATGTACAAGTATACTTCCAGCCGCTTCAAGACCCGGGCAGAGCAGGAAGTGAAGAAAGCTGAGCACGTAGCACGGATTGGTAATGTCCCCCTGTGCAGGCGGGGTTAGGTGGGAGTCCCTTGGGGACACGGCTTATGGCCAAAGCTAGAGCTAGGAAAAAGCTCCATCCAACACTCTGGGCAGCTCCTCCTGCAGCCCTGCCCGTGGCCAGTCCTCTTAGCAGTTTCTCCGCCTTCCCGGCAGTCTTTGTAGCAACTTATCTAAAACATGTCGTGAAGAATCCCACACTGGCCTCTGGCCCTAATATTTGTGAAATTGGTGTTTATGACTCCAGGGCAAAATCCTCAAGGTCTGTCGGGATATTATAGCAGGGCTTCCTGGCTGCTTAAAGGAGCGTGACTGGCTGAGGACTCGATAGGTTCTAGCTTCTGCCAGGGTTTAACTTGGGTTGCCTTGGGCAGTTTTTGACCGGTTTTGATTCATTTGGAAAGTTTGAAAAGCATGGTCCAGATGAAAATAGGACCACAGTTTCCGTGAGTCCTTGATTTTCCTTTTGAACTGACTGTGCAACCCACCACCACCACCCTCGTCCAGCGGGAACTGCACTGTGGGATCCAAGAGGATTAGTAAGAGTGTTGAGCCTTTGAATTCCTTAACGTGGTTTCTTCTGGGTTTCAGCTGAAGATAAGGCCCGGGAGGCGGAGAGCAAAGCACGGGCTTTAGAGCTGCGCTTGGGTGGAGACGTCACGCGGGACTCCAGGGTAAGGCTCCCGCCTGTGCACTGTCCTCTAGCGTGTCTGGCCAGAGCCTCCCACGCTGGCCTTGCTCAGCCCACGACACTCAAGAACCTCTTACCCTAAAGCTGAAAGATGGGATGATGCTTCCATAACCACTACTGAACACACGGTATGGTAAAATCTTGGCTGATCATTTCAACATCCCAAAACCATATGAGGTATGGACGGACACAGTTTGTGGGAAGAGAAATGGAAATGGAAAACAGCACTTGTCCCAGGTCACACAGCAATCCGGGTCAGAGCAGTTCTCTGATCTCCCAGCCTGACCCACCTCTGGAGACTGTCAGTTGTCATAAGCCCGGTCAAGGGAAAACAGCTTTTGAGTTTGTCCCCATTTCTGTAGAAAATAACTCTCCAGGTGTGTTGCTTCCATGTGGTCGGAAGTGGGAAGTTTTAGGTGTGAAACATGCCTCCTGTGAGGCCGGAGCCCCGCCCCTCACCTGTGCTGCCGTTTGCCCCCAGGTGATGCTGCGGCAGGTGCAGAACGCAGCCATCACCCTGCGCAGAGAAGCTGACGTCAAGAAGCGGATCAAGGATGCCAAGCAGCGGTGAGTGCCAGGACTGGCCTTTGACCTTTTAGAACCATGGAGCTTTTGTACTGATGGTTGGCAAAGAGCTTGAGGAATCCCTCCCCACCCGCAGGGTTGCTGTTCTGTCACAAAGATTGCTTTGAGAAAAAACCATGAATGTTGTCATCTTAAGTGCTGGTCAGATGGCCACGGCAGGAGAACAGTTTTTTCCTCGCTCTGTTCTTTTTGAGCTAGGAAAAGGCAGAGCAGTGCCAACACCTTGAATTGAACACCAAACCGTTCTCACTGGCACCTGCCTGTCTCTCCATCCTTCTCTTTCCTCCTTCCCTCTCCCTCTCTCTCCTTTTTATCTTTTTTCCCTATTCCCTCTCTTCCTTTCCTTTCCCCCACTCTTCATTTACAGAGTACATAAAATGCTAATTGTATAAAACTTGTAACATATAGGACATTAAAAAATGTTTTACACGTGCCTGTACTTTTACCACCTCGTGCTATCTACTCTTAATTTTTTTATTTTTATTTTATTTTATTATTATTTTTTTTTTATCCCTGATGAAAATTGTGGACTAACTCTGCAGATTGACTTTTTGGTCTTTTTCATCTTGAATGGGCATTTGTCCTGGCTCATTCATCTTCTCTCTCTGTCCACCTCTGTGTCTGGAGCCGCTCTGGGCCTTGAGCTCATTCCTGGCTTGTTTCTTGGCTCCTTGACATAGTCCGGTTTCTTCCTGAGTGAGCCTGCTGCTGCTCCTCCTGCTCTGCAGCTTCTGCGATCCTGTGCCTGTTATCACCTGGCGGTCTCTCCTGTCCCATGCCTGTTGTGGATTTTTGCCTTTTTGCAGTTATCACTGTCACCTTAGTGGAGGAGGCATGCAGAAAGCCTGTGTTTCTCATCATGTGTCAGCAGCTTCCAGGGTCTCATTCACACTCTGCTTTGTTCCCAAAGGCCAGAGTCGTGTGCTTTCCATAAGCCGAAGCTCACCACATCTTACACGCCACGGTACTTGGGTTGGTCTGCTAGAATTTTCCATTTTTCTTCTCAGAGCACTTAAGGAGCCTAAGGAACTGAATTTTGTTTTTGGGGTCAACATCGAACACCGGGATCTGGACGGCATGTTCATATACAACTGCAGCCGCCTGATCAAGATGTATGAGAAAGTGGGACCGCAGCTGGAAGGGGGCATGTGAGTGCTGCCCCGGAGAGCTTCCACGCCCGAGGCCGATGCTGGAGGCTTCCGGCCAGCGGGCTCACGGGCTTTGTCTTCCCTCTCCCTGCAGGGCGTGCGGCGGGGTTGTTGGGGTTGTTGACGTGCCCTACCTGGTCCTGGAGCCTACACACAACAAGCAGGACTTCGCTGACGCCAAGGAGTACCGGCACCTGCTGCGGGCGATGGGCGACCACCTGGCCCAGTACTGGAAGGACATCGCCATCGGTAACGCCGCTTCTCTCTGCCTCCACCTCAGGGTGCTCACCGCCTGGGGGGGTGAAGTGAGGGGGAGGGAGAGGCTGCCTTCTAACAAGACGTGTGGGTGTTTGCCTTCCAGCCCAGCGGGGAATCATCAAGTTCTGGGATGAATTTGGCTACCTCTCTGCCAACTGGAACCACCCCCCATCCAGTGACGTGCGTTACAAACGCCGGAGGTCCATGGAAATCCCCACCACCATCCAGTGTGGTGAGTCCGGGGGTCACAACTTCTCCTGACTCCTTCCCGTCATCGTCCATGTCCCTCTGTCCCCATGCTGGCCTCTGGCTGGACTGACATTTATGGTCTTCTAGTCCCACTGGGGATGGGAGTCTGTTCAGTGCTGTCCTTGGGAGCTAAGTCTGCCTGGAGGAGGGAGAGGGGCTGCGGGTGGAGAGTTCACGATATGAAGTTTCCATCCTTGCTGGTGTCACTGTCCCTGAGAAGGTCACTGTTCTGTAAGAAAGGCACTGTGGAGCCAGAATGAAACTGAAGGGCGAGTCAGGGTCGTCTGTGCTTGGGCCTGGCTGGGCGGAGCCTGACCACAGACACGGTTGGTAAGCATGGCTGACTTCAGTTTGGCTGTGATTTCTGTGTTACAGATTTGTGTCTGAAGTGGCGGACCCTCCCCTTCCAGCTGCATTCTGTGGAAAAGGAGTATCCTGACACCTGGGTTTGCTCCATGAACCCTGACCCTGAGCAGGACCGGTGAGCACTTTTCTCTAACGAATTGTGGTGCCTCCATCCTCTTGCCACGTTCTCCGCTCTCTGGGTCAGTAACTCGCTACGCTTCTTGAGGTCAGGGCTCACATCTTTCCATCTGTCTTGCTGCTCGTAGTAAATGTCCAGAAATAAGAATGTAGGTGTGTCCTGCAGTGAGTACTAACTCCTTGAACTTGGGGATTCTGAGGTGGTTGCTCTGATGAAGGCGGTGTGAGTTAGCTGAGGAGGAAGGGCCCTGCCCTGCTTGGAGCCTGTTTTCCCACAGCCTCCTTAGCACTTTCTCTGCACAGGTGTGAGGCTTCTGAGCAGAAGCAGAAGGTTCCCCTGGGGACGTTAAAAAAGGACCTGAAGACACAGGAAGAGAAGCAGAAGCAGCTGACGGAGAGAATTCGCCAACAGCAGGAGAAGCTGGAGGCCCTGCAGGTACGTGATCCTGGGCAGAAGGCTGAGCAAGGCCGTGCCATCTCTGTCTGGGGTGGGACAGGGCCTCTCGGTGGCGCCCCTGTCCCCTCGGGCTCAGTTTCACTCCCAGTCACCCAGGAGAACTGCCAAAGCTCCCAGCCCCAATCTCCAGGCACACTGGTTCCCAAGTGTGCCCTGATTATCTTTCTAGACACTCAGACTGCTTTATTTACACATACAAAGTGGTCCAATTCATTTATAAATGTTTTAAAGCTCCAGAAAGTGAATAGTTTACCTTAGAGGTAACAATCACTAACTGCACATCCTTCCAGTTTTTAACTGCCTGCATTTTTTAATATGTTTTACTGATTTTTTTTTGTTTTGTTTTTTTGTTTGTTTGTTTGTTTTACTGATTTTTTACAGAGAGGAAGGGAGAGGGATAGAGAGTTAGAAACATCGATCAGCTGCCTCTTGCACACCTCCCACTGGGAGTGTGCTCGCAACCAGGGTATATGCCCCTGACCAGAACCAAACCTGGGACCTTTCAGTTCGCAGGCCAAATGTTCTATCCACCAAACCGGTTAGGGCTGTACATATATATTTTTAATAGAAATATGAAGATTATGATGTTATGTGATGTATATACACACACACACATTTTCAGTGGATAATTAAATTCTGTGGCTTTTAGAAACTATTTCTAAGTTATTCTCCTGAAGATCTATTAACTTTGGGGGGCGTTTTTTAGTTTTTTTCTTTTTGTGTTTTTTTTTTTTTTTTTACCAGCAGTACATTTATTTTTAAATATTTTTAAATATTTCTGCAAATTTGATTGGCAGAGGTATACATTTTTTAATTTGGGTTTATTTCATATTTTTAAAATTGGACAGTCTTTCCACATGTCTGTCTTTCTTTTAGAATTGCTTATGCTTCTCTCACATTTTTGTGTTTTTCCCCGTTGAATTGTCAGGGTGTCTTAGGTATATCTGTGGCATCAGCCCTTTACTGTATGTATTTACATCAGCCCTTTACAGTATGGATTAGGAAAGCTGCTTGCTTTCTGGCTTCTGTGTCTGTGCAGACGCTCTCACTAACTCCGACGTCTTAGGCGTGCCTCCTGCATGCTGGGCCCGCCTGTCCTTCTTGGCCTCATTCATCAGGCCTTTCCCACCTTTTTTTTTTTTTTTTTTTTTTTTTTTGTGGCTGCTTTAATGGGAGCTTAGTCCAGTCTCTCAGTTCCTGGATTAATCATAGAATCCTGCAGTTTGCAGATGGTTAGTGTCGGTGTGTTTTTTGGGTCTTCCCAGTGAGAATGGGAGGCTGGCAATAGTAGGGCTGTGGCCCCGGTTTTCCTCCCCGCTGTCCCAGAGCGGTTGCCTGAGTATGCCAGGATAGGTAAACAGCTCGGTCCTCACGTTTGTCCTGCAGAAGACCACCCCCATCCGCTCCCAAGCTGACCTGAAGAAGCTGCCGCTCGAAGTAACCACTAGACCTCCCTCCGAGGTGAGGCCCCGGGCAGGAGCGGCTTTCCCTCGGGTTCGTGTGCTTGGAGCAGGCCTTTCACTCTCTCCGCTTCCTTTAGGAACCTGCACGCAGACCTCAGCGTCCACGCTCACCTCCTTTACCTGCTGTGATCAAGAATGCCCCGAGCAGACCCCCTGCCCTCCAACCTCCCAGGCCAACCAGGAAGGCTCCTGTCATCAACAGCATCCCAAAGCCGCCTGCCCTGGCAGCCCGGGAGGAGGCCTGTACGTCCAGGCTCCTTCAGCCCCCCGAGGCACCCCGAAAGCCTGCTAACACTGCAGTCAAGACGGTGACGGTGCCTCGGTCCACCCCTCCGGTGCAGCCGCCGACACCATCTCCACTGCCCAACTCCAAGAGCCCTCGGGAGGTGCCCTCCCCCAGAGCCGCCAAGATGCCCGTGGTCAAGAGGCCAGAGCCGCCTAGTAAACCTGCCCCGGTGAGATGATGCTCTCCGCCTCAGCCCCTCGGGGGTAGGCGTGGAGCTGGGCGGTCAGTGTCTTCGTAGCTGAAGGGACTTGCTCAGGGGCTCAGAACACGTGGCTCTGTTTATTCAGGGAGCTTTTCCCTGCTCCCTCCAAGGTGTGGGCTCCTTATGCTATAGCATAGGTTTGTGGCCTGGTGACAGTCTCCTGAGCTCAGTGGTGGGTGCTGTGTCTCAGGGAGGTCACAGCTGGCCCAGGAGGGAATGAACTGAGAGCCTTCCCCGGTGACAGCTCTGAGCTCAGGCCCTCAGGGGCACAGGGCCTGGAGTTGCTCGGTACCGAGCAATGCCAGGTGTACTTTGCCCTGGTGGAGACAGAGAAGCATACAAGCTTCGGGCTGAAGCTCCTTCAGGCCGGATAGAAGCTTCACGCACACCAAGGACTGACATGGCTGCTCCTCTTCCCCCTCTTGCTCTAGGCCACCCATGGTCGGAAGCGGGCTATCGATGCCTCTGATGAGGAGGAAGCTGAGGAAGAGGCTGTGGAGAGGAGGGAGAGACCCAAGCGGGGCAAGATCACTGTGAAGGAGGAAAAGAAGGACCTGAGTGAGGTAGGTGGTCGAGGGGAAGTTCTCAGCAGTCTGCACCGGCTCCGTTTGCGCTGAGGCGTGAGCCTTCCGGAGCGCAGTTTACAAAGATGCCGGAAACGTGTGCCAGGTAGGGTCCTGAGGGGGACCGAGTCCCAGGTCTGAGGTCACATTGACACGGAATCGGGGAGGTTTAAAACCCTTGCGTTCTGTGTCCATGACAGTCTGTCCCTTGCCTGCCAGCTTGTTTATAAAGGTGATAGAAGCGTAGACACCTAAGCTAGAGGTTTAATAAGCACGTCCTGGTGATGTGAGCTGCCATGTAAATCAGCATGATGGTGACAGCTGCTGACCCTGGGCAGGCAGCCACGCAGAAGCCTGCTCTCCAGGGGCGCTCACACTCTGCTCTCCTCATAGCTATCAGACAGTGCTGAGGAGGAGGACTCCGCTGAGCTCAAGAAGGCGCAGAAAGGTGAGTGGAGGGAGAGGCCTGGCCGCCTGTGGGGAGGCGGGAAGTGGGGCTCAGCCAGCAGCCGCTCCCCCTCCGTGCTCATGGAGGCTCCCCTGGCTCTGGGCTCTGGTGCTCCAGTGGTTTCAAGTCCAATTCCTAGAAAAACTCTGAGGAAAGCACACCCTGTGTGCATTTCAGCACGAAATCCTTGGCATTCACCTCTGGCACTCCTGCTGCTGCTGCTCTGTGGAACTCGTACGACAGATTGGGGAGGAGACCAGGGTCACTGGGCCCCATGTCCCTGGCGTAGAGGGGACAAGCACCCGGGAGTTCTTGTCCCTGCAAATCCTGGGGTGACCTTTCTTGAGGTGTCTGACTGAGTGGGGGACTCTGGTCAGTTTTCTGACTTCTGCTCCTCCCCGTTCTCAGATAAAGGTCTGCACGTGGAGGTGCGTGTGAACAGGGAGTGGTACACCGGCCGCGTCACAGCGGTGGAGGCAGGCAAGCATGCGGTGCGGTGGAAGGTGAAGTTTGACTACGTGCCCACAGACACAACGCCGAGAGACCGCTGGTAATGCCCCCGAAGAGCCGGTGGGCAGCGTTGGCCCGGGCAGGGGGGGCGGCCTCCCATCCGGGGAGCTGGGGATACACGTGACAGAACGGCGTCCTCTCCAGGGTGGACAAAGGCAGCGAGGATGTGCGGCTGATGAAGCCCCCTTCGCCGGAGTACCAGACGCCTGACACCCAGCAGAACGGAGGTGAGGAGGTGGAGTCCACAGTGGCCAAGCTGGTTGAGGCCCAGCCGTCTGTGGCCGTGCCAGACGCCTCCACTTCCGAATGCGTCCGCATTGAGCCTGACACCACCGCCCCCAACTCCAACCACGAGACCATCGACCTGCTCGTCCAGATCCTCCGGTGCGTGCCGTCCCGCTCCGGGGCCCAGCGGCTCTCCGCCTGTCCGCGCCATTCTGACTCCTTGTCCCGCCTGCTCTCTCGTTCAGGAATTGTTTACGGTACTTCCTGCCTCCAAGCTTCCCCATCTCCAAAAAGGAGCTGAGTGCTATGAATTCAGATGAGCTGATATCCTTTCCTCTGGTGAGTCTGGCCTGACCTTCGGTCTCGCACGCTGCGTGCCCCCTCGGTGCTTGCGAGAGGAGACTTCACCCTGTGGAAAGAAGGGGCTTAGCTGGACATGACTGTGGTCCTGAGTCCTCACTGACGGACAGAGGCCAGTGCTCGTTTAGAAGGGCCTGGGGACCCTGTGAGCTCATGCGCCCCCTCTCCCCGCCCCCCACAGAAAGAGTACTTCAGACAGTACGAGGTGGGGCTCCAGAACCTGTGCCACTCCTACCAGAGCCGCGCCGACTCGCGGGCCAAGGCCTCGGAGGAGAGCCTGCGCGCCTCTGAGAGGAAGCTCCGTGAGACGGAGGAGAAGCTGCAGAAGCTGAGGACCAACATCGTGGCTCTCCTGCAAAAGGTGCAGGAGGTGAGCCAGGCAGTTCTCATTGCAGCGGGACCACCTGGTCTCGGGGGGCGGGGGGGGCTTGGGCACCTCTTGCTGCCTTCTCCCCACTCGCAGGAACCTGTGGTTTCAACCCTGGCGGCACAGCTCCTGACCAGGAGGGCTGAGGTGCGGCTGCCTGGGCCGCCTCCCAGCCAGGCCCGGTATCACGCTTTGCCCTTGTTAGACATGTTGATGGACAGCTGCGTTTGAGACTCCTCCCAGCCATGAACTAGAAGGTCTCACTTTCCCAGATGCCGCCCAGATGGGATTGGGTGGCCTCCGAGTGGAGCCTGCCCTGTGGGCTCTCAGTCCTTCACCAGGCACTGAGCACAGGGAGGGCCTGCTCCCCTCGCTGAGGGGGCCGGGGCAGCCCGCCAGGCGGTCCCTCCCTCACAGCCCGACCCTCCAGGGCAGGAGCTAGGAAACAGACTGAGAGAGAGAGGGCAGATAGAGGCCACCTTCCCAGGCCGTGAGGGTGGTCTCTGAGGAGGTATTTGAGCCGAGATGGAACAGTCAGAAGAGTGAGTGTGAGTGCTGCGGCGAGAGGACCAGGCCCACCCTCAGGAGGAGTGGGCTGGACGCGGGGCCTCAGAGGTGGGACGTCACTGGCATCACCCAGTCTGCGCCCTAAGACACTTACTCTGGTTGTTGTAGGAGGGCCTGGCATGGCTAGAGCTTAGAACCCAGGACGCCAGTGAGGTCCCCACAGTTTTCTGGGTGAGAGTTGCTGGCGGCCTTCACCTTGGACGATGACAGTGCGGAGGAGGGAGTGGGTAGATCTCATATCTGAGGGAGAGGGAGGACACGGGGTGATTCCTGAGGTTTGTCCTGAGCCTGTGGGCAGAGGGAAGGTGGTGGGAACACTGTGGTGGGGGGTCTAGCCGTGTTGTTTTGGATTTATTGAGCCCGGGAAGCCTGCAACACGTCTGCACAACCTGGAACTCTGTACAGAGGATTGGGGCGGGGGAGTGGACAAAAAGGGACAGGGCCACCAGCTGGGGGACAGGGCCAAAGCTCCTCAGGCCCCACCACCGTTCAGCCCCAGCTGACCCTGCCCGCTCTGTTTCAGGACATTGACATCAATACGGACGACGAGCTGGACGCCTACATCGAAGACCTGATCACCAAGGGGGACTAAGGGGCCAGCGCCCCGCTCCGGCCTCGGGCAGAGCCCCGGGTGCGCGGGGGCCGTTTGATGAGCGGGTCCGTGGACTCGCATTGGTTTGGCTCACTTGGGACATCTGTGCTTTTGGAGGGAAGACACTCTGATTCTTTGAATCTCCCTCCCTCCGTTTATAAATATTTATTTTTTAAAAGAAACGAAATGCTGCGCCTGCTGTGAGACTCCTTTCTCTGCGTGGCTCTGGGGCGTCATCAGGAGGAGGCTTGGCTCTGGGCGGCTCCTGTCAGGTCAGGGATGTGCCTTTGCCTAACCAGCGTGGGAAGAAAGACCCTCATTCAGCCTCCCGCTGCTGGAGGGGCCTCCTCAGTTGGCAGGGAGGCTTCCCGCCTCAGTATCTTGAGGTTCGAAGAGCAGACGGACGGGACACCGCGAACTGCTGGCCTGGGTGGCACCCCAAGTGTGTGAGCTCCTCGGTTTCTTTTAGGAAAGGACCTTGTGTGTGGAGGAGCCCCCGGCACTGGTGGTGGGGCCTCCGTCTGGTGGGGCGGCGGCTAGAGAGCCTGTTGCTGCTTTTTCCCTTATGGGTCCTCTGCACCTGCCCTCCCCTCCCCCCATGCCCAGCAAGGCCCCTGCTATGGGGCGGACAGAAGGGGGTCTCTAAGCCCCACTTGCCCACAGGCACAGGGGCGGGGTCCAGGATCCCAGAGGTGCCATGCCTTCCCTTCTGTCCCTCCGCAGTCTCTCCGGTCCAATACAAAGGCAGGAGTTGCTGAGTTTTCTCTTTAAGAGCTAATGGAAAAGTTCCGGTTTCACCTCCTGCCCCCACTCACACACACACACACACCCCTTTATTTGGAGACTTGGTTTTCTGAAGGCCATGCACACTGGCCTGTGATTCAAACGGGCACCTACCCACCTGAGGTCTCATGGACTGGGAAGCACTAGGGAGGGAAGCAGACCCCATGAATTGGGGATCTATCCACTTGTGCACGTGGCCAGAGGCGTCCCCGAACCACAACCCTGGGGGGGGGAGGGTAGTCTGGGGAAATGCCACCAAAAGTGGCCCTGGTGGCTTTGGAAGCTTCTCAGCGCTCTGGGATTCCTGAGGTGGTGACTCCTCCCTGGTCCGGTGCTCTCTCCACCCCAGGCAGCATTCGGTCCATTTTGTCCCCAACCTACTGTTGTAATCTGGAAGGAAGTTGTTTTTTCCTAGCCGGTAATACTCAAGCTTTTTATATACTCACTGTAATCAAAGTGCAATACTATAAACTCTACTGGTGAGCCTTCTGAACTCGGTCTGTTTCTTCTCTCAGTAAAATCTACTGCCTTCCTCCTTTTCTTCCCACCACGATGGCTTTAAACTGTTTTCAGATTCTTGCTCATCCCTACCGTCTTCATTGTTCTGGGTCTTCATCGTCAGCACCCACAGAACCGGAATTTCTTTAACGTCGTGCCTTGGACATGTGGATGCGCCCACTGTGCTGACGGCAGCCCATCCCCAGGAGAGCTGCCGTCTGTGGTGAGAAGATACAGCGCAGAGGACTTGGTGGGAGGGGGCGGTGGTCTGGCTGGCAGGAAGGCCCTTCCTTAGTTCAAGGCAGGAGATGGATGAGTGCAGCAGGGCGTGGTTTTAAGGAGTAGGGGAGGGAGGGGGAGCAGCTTTTAGTGTTTTTTTAAGTGGCACGTGCACATGGTAAACATTTCAACAGTATGTAAGGCTGGGCCATGAAAAGCAAGGCTCCCTTCCACCCTGGTCCTCTCTTCTCCCTGGAGACCGTGCCCGTCCTGAGCACACACCCTGCCCCGTTCCCCTTCCCCACTTGGTGTGTCTCGGAAGCGGCTTCAGAATAGCTCATCTGGGTCTGTGTTATTCTGAACAGCCACACAGCACTTCACCGACGTGGATGTGCTGTCACTGAACAGTCCCCTCGTTAGAAACATTTCGGTCCTCAACGCTTATGAAAAGTGCTGTGATGTGTGTGCATTAACTCCTCAGTCTGTATATGGGGTAAATTCCAGAGAGAGAAATGGCTGTCAGATGGTGGATATGTTAAAAACTCTTAACATACATTCCAGAAAAGACTTCCAATTTCAACTACACACACACACACACACACACACACACACACACACACGTCTGCATCTACCGCCTTCATGCTGCAGTCTCCTTTATTGACCCAAAAGGTGGAGAGTGATGGGTTTTGAGCTGGTTTGAACTAATTTAAGTGAGATTGAGCATCTTCCTTGTCCAGTTGTATTTCTGGTACAAGCCTGTAATTCTGAATTTTGGGTTAGGGACTCTACAGAAGAGTTTACAAAAATCAGATGAAGCCCTGGCTGGTGTGGCTCAGTGGGTTGGAATGTCTGTACCATTACACCAAAGGGTTGTAGGTTTGATTACCGGTCAGGGCACATAACCTAGGTTGTGAGTTTGATCCTCACTCAGGCATGTATGGGAGGCCACAGATCGTTTCTCTCCCCCTCTAAAACCAGTTTTTAAACATCAGGGACAAAGGCCTCAGTGAAACAATCACTTTTACATGATCCCCCTCCACCCCTGAGTGTCCCATGGATTCAGGATTAAAACCCCATTTTAGGATCAGTACTGTGTATATTGCCAGATCGGGACCAGGGTTCGACATCTTTGTTTACTAAAAGGTACGGGTTAGCAACAGGCTGAGGAACACTAGTTTCTCCTTGGCGTCCATCAGAATGACACTGCGTGCTGGCTCTTGTTGGTCAGTCAGTCCCCAGGTCTGCAGGCTCAGACCTGTGCGCTGGCCAGGAGGTCGCAGCTCCAGGACCTGGAAGTGTTTACGAATGATCAAAGCTCAGACTTGCTTGCCACGTGCAGAGAGCACAGGCTTGGCTCTGCCTGGTGCCTCCGCTGGCTCTGGTCCCTGTGGGGAGGTGGTTCTGCAACCGGGCCAGGCTGGAAGGGAGCTGCTGGCAGCCACCAAAGCCCCGGAAACACACCCCGGGTTCCCTGGAGGCGCTGCCTTTGTCGGAGACGGAACCCTGGAGGTTTCCTTGGGAACCGAGAGGCCACATTGCACTTGGTTCCGCAGACGAAGGGCTGCTGGCCAGGGGCAGGGCGCACTCAGGCTGCCCTCTGCCCATTCTCAGCTCTGCTGGCGCGCCATTTCCACGGTAAGCACCACAGACCAAAGGGCCTGGCAAGGCACATCCCTCTCCCCGACGAGCCGACCCGTGGCCAGGCCTGCTTTGCAGTCTGGTAGCTCGGAACGTGCCAGGCCCAACTAGGCTCCTTTTGAACTCCGAAGGCTTCAGGCAAATCCCTGCCCAGCCTGCTCCCCATTCCTTCTCCAAACAAAGGAGTCGGTGGTGGTTTCCCAGCTTAGTCAGCACGGGGCCAGTTCCACCTGAACTTTATCCAGAGGCCCCTACAGACTGTCATCTGGAGCTGGTGGCACTGAAGTTCGGTTAGTGAGTGGCCCAAAGCGCCTTGCTCTCCCAGCCCCCAGTCTTTGTCTCCAAGACTCACTGTCTCCATTGCTCAGCTGCTCCCTCTGCCCCATAGCCATCCTGCTGGCCGACTGACCGTTTGGCGGGTTTCAGTGTCCCCCAGGGGAGGGGCGCATCCAGCCTCCTGGGCCTGCGCGGCAGGTCGCCTGTGGCACCGCGGGGTGGCCTGGGGAGCGCACCGCTCGGGCTCTGGATGGAGGGCAGGGAGTCCGAACCCGGGGAGAGTCTGAGGACACAGCCCTCCTCTTGTCCCCTCTGCGGGGCGGCCTCCCTGGGGTCAGCCCACTCCTGCCCCGGCAGCTGCAGGGGTCGGGAAGCTGAGGCCGCTCTAAGCCATTCGCTGAATTTGCGCTCCTTCCCTGCGGCCATTTCCCTCTGGTGAAGCCCTGGACTCTCCCTCCTCTCCGCGGTGCCCCAACACAGGCCCATCGGCTGCCGGCCGGCCTGGGCCTGCACTGGCTGGACAGCCATGTGGTCAGGAGGAGAGTCCCGCGTTCCTCCCGCTAAATCCGGTCAGAGCCTGAGCCTGAGGGCTGGCTGCAACCGGCCCAGGGCCCGGCCACCTCCAGAGGCTTTGGGGGATCAGCGTTCAGCCCTGTGGGGCGCCGGCCTTCTGCGGACCCAGGAGGTGACTGCACAATCAGTGGCGCCTGCGCAGTGTGCCTGCCCCGCACGCACGCACGCACGCACGCACGCACGCACGCACGCACAGCTGCGTCCCGCGCATGCGCCCTGGGAGTATCGGAGCCGCCCACGTGGCGCTGGTTGAGGGGCGGCGTCCTCGCCCCGCGCTGCTGCGGGGAGAGCGAGGTGAGCGGAGCGCGTGTGCGGGGCGGACACAGGGCCCCATGGAGGGGCCCCAGCGCCCAGGGGAGGATGGCCTGGCCCAGCGGGGAGGGGAAGGCCGGCGGGCAGAAAAGGGGGGAATCTCTGGAGTTAAGCCCGAGCGCAGACGAAGCCTTTCCCCGCGTGGTTTCCCAGCTTGTGGGGTCAGGGCAGAAGCCCTTCCGGCGGAAGTCCTCGGCGCCCTGGCACCTGCGGGCAGAAGACCCGGAGGAGGCTGCCAGCACGTCCCCAGGTCAGTTTCCCGAAGCCTCTCTGCACCGAGGTCTCCGGTTTCACAACTTTGGCTCCTTTTTGGCTGATTCTTGGCTTGATGGATGGTGTTTCTGGAAAGGTCACCATTTTGGGGGGTTTTGAAGGTTTCCTTTCATGCTTTTAAAAGTCCTGCCCGCCGCCAGCCTGGAACATTCTTACGTTTTGTTGCAATGTTTTCAGAATGTTGCGCCAGTGCTCCCTGTGGGATGTATTTAGGACAAGCAGGTAAGGCAGGGGCCAAGCTTTGTGTCCCCCCCCCCCAAAAAAAAAAAAAATGGGAATCCACTTGTGCCAGCCTCATGTGTGAAATGAACTACCCTGGTCACTGTCTGTGGTTTTGGACCTGTTGGGTTTAAGATGCCCTTTAGGCCAATGGAGGCATCCCGTCATTAGGCGATTCCAACGGGAGGGGTGAGATTCTAGCCGAAACT